AAAGAGCCATTAATTAGCTGAATCAGAATATATCGTCAAAAACGACACAGATGTAGTCAATTCAAGGACCTTACATAATAACATACGATCGTAACGCATTTTCCGGCAGTCAGTATTACTGGGTTTCCCAGTAGGATTCAAGACGAGATGACAACTCGGCACTTAACCCAATCGTTACGGATGGCAAGAATACATGCCATTTTCATTGTAATATAAGTTTATTTTTTGTATTTACTCATAGATGGCTCTCATAGAGTCCGTTATTAGTCCTACCTATCTCACCTGTTTAGCCTTTTCCTTGAATTTTGGAAAGGGTCTTTAGCAGTGTCTTAAATGTTACCAAGATTTAAATAACAATTTAATAATCACATCATTAATAACAATAATAACAGTATCGGCATGAATTACAAAAAAAAAAAAAAAAAAAAAAAAAAAAAAAATCTCGCAAATTCAAGGAATGGGGAAATCAGGTTCGGTCACTAGGACCTACTGATAAACTCCTTGCCGGCTGAGCACATGTGGAACCATCTGTAAAAGAATTCACAAAAAAACACAGGGACAGAAAGTAATCCGTGACGGTTGGGTTAAGAATAATGATCGTAAATCGACCTGAAGAATAGAAGAACTTTTGTGAATGAAAATTTGTTTAATTACATCCATCATGTGGGATATTGAAATACCTTCCTGATAATTTAATATCAAAATTAGAATCAGTACAACCATACTCGTAGCCGAGTCAAATGTCAATCTAAGAACCAGTTCAAACACAGTATAATTATTTACCTATATAACTTCTTTGTCAAATAAGGAACTCAACCAAATCTTTTGCTTCAACATTCTTAATACGGTTTTGAGTTTGATGTCTTTTGCTACAGTGCCGACAAACACAAAAGCTGAAATACCCATTTAACGTTATTACCAGTTTATGTATCAACAAAGATATGTTTTCTACTGAATTTGTAATAATGTTGTTAGAGAAGAAGAGTGCATAATGAGTTCAATGATCTATCGAAATATATATTACTTATATTCAAATATAATCCTATGTCAACCTATAATTTCATGAGATTTTGTGCAGACATTATTCTTGCCCGTTTTATCTGACAGCTACCAGTGGACTTACCAGTGCTAAAGTTTACCATGGTAACTCTGATGGTAAGTTATTAGTGAATACCACAGCTGTCTGTTACAATCGTGACCGTAGTTACCAGCAATTTTACTGTCAAAAGTGCATTAGTGTATCTGGCCCCAGAATAGCATCATGGCATACAATCTAAGCACATTGCAGTGGCACATCAGTGGTTCTCTCAGAAAAGCTATTCTCTATATGATTCTGTGATGAAGGAACACTTTCATTGTCATGCCTCAGGATAACTAACAAGCGATTCAGTCTGCTTCTCGAAGTAGCATATCCTTGTGTTAAAAAGCAGTACAGGTACTAGAAACTTGATCACCCTGATCAGAGCAACAATTCTCAGTTCCACAATAGCTATTCTGCCACACTGTGGAGATGGGTTGAATCTCTCGCTATTGAGATCCACCTGGTTGGGGCTCCTGTGAGTTGGATAATGCATAAAGTAGGCCAGGCTGTAGGGGGTTTCGATATTACCAAGGTTTGTGGTACTGCTGCACAGGACCTTGTGATTGTAGAGGGAGAGTCAATCCTCACCACCACTTGTCTCCCTGTAGAAGAGCAGATACAGCAGGCTATCACATATCCAAGGTGCTGGAGTCATGCCCAGGGATCATTCTTCTCAACACCCATAAGCCAACGAATGTCAAAGGATGGGTCCTAGATCTCACGGTTGTTAAATCATCTCTGATGGAAAGAGTCAGATCTCTTTGGCACCGTCAACACGTACTTTGATAATGGTCCAGCCCCCATGCTGCCACATGAATCCCAGATTGATAGATAAGGCCAACTAGTAAGCCTTTCAGAATACCTTGGCCCAATCTCCTAGATGCAATAAGCCCTTACAGACTGCATATGTGTATGTGCTTAAGGCAAGACTAGTTAGTGCCTTACAGACTATTGCTGAATCTCAAGTCCCAAAGTCACTTGGTACTATGATGACAAGTCAACCAAAGACTTGACATATTCTAGAAACATTTCTAAAGACAGAGAACTCCAGAGAATCTAACTCTCCTGAGGGATTCTCTCGATGTTAAGGAAACTGCCAAGAGGGTCTGGGAGGAAAAACAGCTGGAATAGTAGCAATCTTTTGGCTGCCAGACCAAACTTACAGAGTTGCTGCAATGTGTCAGATGAGTCACAAACGACTCAGCCCCAGGGACACACATCAAAAGCAGAAAGGCTGGTGCTCACGATCTTTGCCAGTCTGCCTGCCGGATTGAGGGCTAATCAAGACGCCTACCATGAGACAGACTTGTTCTCATTAGACACAGGGCAATCAAACCTGATAAATTGGATGCTATGTTCACACAGAGGAAACTAAGAAAAACATGGAAATGGTTCTTTCTCGGCCCCAGGCTGTGATGG